GCTAATTTTTTGTACTTTTAGTAGAGACAGGGTTTCACCATGTTGGCCAGGCTGGTCTTAAGCCCCTGACCTCAAGTGATCTGCTCGCCTCAGCCTCCCAAAGTGCTGGGATTACAGGCGGGAGCCATGGCGCCCAGCCCAGAGTACAGTTACTTCTTTACTAGAGGAAAAAGAATCCAAGCATTGGACCAGGCCACCTTCTCCTCCTGGCACATTCACATCCTTCAGTGTTTCCTCTTGTCAGCGCTCCCTCCCCACCTCAGCTGCTGTCTTCCTCCTCGACCATCCTCTTCCTCACAGATCAGTGGTTTCCTCCCTCAGATGGTCCCTGACAGTCCAGGGGGTGTCCGTGCCAAACCTCAGCCCTCCATTGAACACCATTGCCTTGTATGTGTGAGGCTGCTCCTGCCTCTGGTGACTGATCGGGTGTGCACAGGTTTTGGGACACAATCCCACCACCTTTGGTGGGACCTGGAGGAATTACCCTAGTTAGGGGTTAGATTTTTTTTGTTAAAACTTTTTATTTTGAAATAATTTTAGATTTACAGAAGACGTGGAAAAATAATACAGAGAATTCCCGTACACCCAGCTTCCTCTAGTGTTACTGTCTCGCAAAACCCATATCACAGTGATCAGCTCTGAAACACTAACATCGGGGCAGTGCTATTAACTACAGACTTGATTCAGGTTTCACCTGTTTCTTCATTAATGTGCTTTGTCCAAAGATCCAGCTCGGGATCCCATCTTGTCTGAGTCAATCTTTGACAATCCTTTATTCTTCCCTTGTCTTTTATGACATTGACAGTTTTGTAGAGTACTTGTCAGGTATTCTGTAGAGTGCCCCTTAATTTGTGTTCATCTGATGCTTTCTCGAGATTAGAAAGAGGTTATTCATTTTTGGCAAGAATGCCGCAGGGGTGATGTGCCCTTCCTGTACATCGTAGCCGGAGGCACCCATGCCAATATGCCTTATTGCTAGTTGTCTTACCCTTGATCTCTCAGTTAAGGTGGCGCCTGTCAGCTTTCTCTGCAGTAAAGCTGCTGTTTTTCCCATTGTAATTAGTAATTACAACGGAGGAGGTACTTTAAGATGATGCAAATGCCGTTTCCTCTTTGGCCCTCTCCCACTGATTTAGGACGAGTTTGTGGATTTTGCCTCTGGCAGTTTTTACTGTGTAGTTTTGAGGTCAAGTAGCTGGATTTAGGGCCAGGTTGAAGGGAGACCATCACCTGGCCACACCCCTGGAGGAGAGATTTTGAGGACGTTCAGCTCAGAATGCTGTTTTCATCTCTTGCCAGATGACTTTGGGCAACTCTTCAAACCACTCTAGTTAATTTTTCCTCTTCATGAAATGGAGAGGTCCTCCACTTTTCCTCTCAAGAGGGGGAAAGAAATAATGACTCCTAATTATGAACACCCAATGATAACAGGAGATCCTTTCCATGTGGCGATGAGACACAACAGCATCACTGATTTATTTCATGGGCTGATGGAGTTTTATTTTCCAGAGAGGAAGGAAGTCTGGGACTTTTAACCACAGGAGCAAATAAATTTCTCTGTACCTCAGTATTTTAACCGCTGAAATGCCCACCCCTGCCAGTTGCAAGCTCTCATTTTCATATGACTTATGATCCTGGAGCACATTCAATGTTGGGCTTCATTCCACTCATTAATGTATTAGTCCAGATTTTGTAAAATTACTTGTCTTCTAGGCAAAAAATAATAGATTTTTCTACATTAATGGAGTTAAAATGAGGAAGGAAAAAAAACGACAGAAAATGGAGCAGGGAAGGGTTCGTAGAACAATAAGAAACACCTGCTTTTTGGGCCAGGATTTTCCATGCAAGTTACTTGCGAGTGTCCTAGAAGAGCTGGTGAAGCTGTGAGCGCAGGCAGAAGACACCAGCTGTGGTTGGCTTGGCACGTCCCAGGCAGCTGGCGGTCTCATCCTCATTTAGGGAAAGCAGGCTTGTGGGATGCTTTTGGGCTGAAGAGCTTGTGGGATGGGTGCTGAGTTGCTGGCCTTTCCAAGGAATGGGAGCTGGGTGGGGGTGGGGGATGGTTCCTTTGGTTGTTTTCGGAAGGTCCTGATCCCGGAGGAGGTGTCAGTAAGAGTCTGAGAACCAAAGCAGAATGCGGTGCCCAGCCCAGCTGCTCACCCTGAGCTGTCCATGGCTTTCTGACTGCAGGAGAGAGCCCTGGCCTCTGCCTTACGTCCCTCTGTCTGAGCCAGGGCTGACCAGACCCTCTATGGGCAAGGCTTTGATCTGCAGCAGATTCTGAAACCCCAATCACTTCCACTGCCACTGGCTCACCTTAGTGTTAACAAGAGGCAAGAAGGCTGATCTGATCTGTCTCAAAGCCAGCAAGAAACAACTTGGAGGCTTTATTCTTGGTTCTGTTCGCCTCAGTTTGTATGGGCACTTGGAAAGGTTTAACCAAAGAAATCAGTAAATGGAACAAGCTTTCCTAAAAGCAGTGCTTATGAGCAAAGGCGGGAGAAGAATCCCACACGTGTCTGGAGCTTCCCTGCTGACTTGGATGTCAGGAGTCTCATGGGCACTTGACAATGTGTCCTTTATATCTAGCAGATTTCAGCCATAATCAGTGGTTCTGGTTCTCTCAGTCTCAGAATGAAGAAGTACAAAATCTTAGGCTTTCCCTGGGTGCCAAATGTCACTGGGCCACCAAATATCTTCTGATTGTGAGGTCTCCTTAGCCAATTTCCAAAGGGAAGGTCACTTAGGAGTTTAGATCTCTGGACTTCCTGGAGGTTGCCATGCAGCGCCACCATGTGGCAGATAGGTCAGCCCTGCGTGGACATCGCTAAATGCTACCACGTGGTCTTAGGATGCTAAAGCACCAATCCAAAGCCGACTAGTGGCTGCTGACAATGGGAGCCAAGAAGGGGCTTCAGGAGAAAGCACAGGCAGCCCCTCCACCAGCCCTTCCACTGGCAGACCCTGAACCTTCACTCCAGCCAGGGCTGGAGAGCCCGAGCACAACCTCTCTCCCCTGCCAGGAAGGATGACCCAGGTAGTGTCAGGGTGTACCCCCTCCAAACACCACCCTTATAAGACCCTTGACGTCCCTGTCATTGAGCATGGAGCCTTTCACGTTATCTCCTACGAAGGACACTGACTCAAGAGGGGAAAACACCTCGCGCCGGGTCCTTCCTCAGGAGGGCCTTGCTGGAGAACGGGGAGGGTGAACCTAGAGCCTTTGAATTTACTCCCTTGCCTTCCTAAGTTTCTTTGCTGATGGCCCCTAGAGGTCTTCTGGTTACCTCAGAGTACCTGTAAATTCATCTCAGAATCATGCCCCTGTTCTTTCAGCTTCTCAGAGCACTGTGACTTTTCCTACTGCATGCCTCTGGAGAGCCACAAGCCTGACCCCCCGAGCCTGTGCCTTTGTGTTTTTTTTTTTTTGTTTGTTTTTTGAGGGGTTGGACTGGGCTCAACCCAGTAAATATATTGTTTCATGTGAACAATCTCAGGGTAATTGTCTCCACCCTCCGCTGGTAAATGCTACGTAAACACAGAGGAGAGGGCTGCCACCTGGCTGCCCTGTTTCCAGACCTTTAGCTGAGCCACACTGGCCTGGCTCAGACCATGCCTCCCACGGGTGCAGACCAAGACATGTTCCTGGCTTTCACCGCAGCCTCAGAGATGATGTCCAAAACCCACTGTGGCTTCAGCCATCCCAGCTGGCAGGGAATGAATGCCCCTACAGGCTCTGCTCCCTAAGCCAGGCCTCCTGTTGAACAGTCATGTTCCCAGGCCAAGACCATGGTAGGATGGTCATGTGCAAGGGAGAGAATTGGGCTCTTTCTGGTCCCAGCTCCCTACACCAACCCCCAGTCGAGGGGAAGACCCCTTGCAAAAGCAGGATTCCCAAACGCAGCGAGAGGGAAGTTCTGAGAGAAGCCTGCTATGGCTGCCCCTCCCTCCCACACCAGGTCCTCCTTGGCTCCAAGGAAGAAAGGAGAAAGTGCACTCTATTGCCTTGTAACCTCTGAAGAGTTAGGGTAGAATGAGGAATGTGTCTCCTCCGGTCTGTGAGTGCCTTATAAAATACAAGAGTGTCCTTTATGGCGGATCACAACATCTGCCAGACAGCAGACCTTAATGAGATCTGAGGAGTGTGACTTCTTGTGCTTTAATTTTAATTCCTAAGAGCATTTTGTTATCTCCACATTCCCTTTTCCATAGCCTGCAGCTCTTGTTTTAATGGATTCTTTATTTTCGTAACATTCTGAGGATGCCTCATTGTAATGTTTTGCTTTCTTAAGCTCCCTGCCTATTGAATCCTCTGAAGTCCATTTTTCTTTTCGTTTTTCCCAGTCTTTCTTTCTCCTTTTTTTAATTTTTTTTTTTTGTTAGTGACTGAGATTTTTTTTT